GAAGCTAGGCTTTCAGCAGGGTCCACAAAGACCTGCTTTCCTATGGAAGTTACCCTATGTCCCCATGTGTGAACCAGTGTGGCAGTGGAGTAGATGCTGGATGGACTCCTTCTCCTGCCCTGCCCAGGCCAGAGGCTCCATGATTTCAAGCCAGGAACAGCTTTTGTGCTGGTTGAGTTTCCCACTGCTTTTATCTCCCCATGTTATCCAGGCTTGGTTGAGGCCTGCAGCAGGGATGAAGGTGGAAGGCAGGAGTCATGGCCTCCCTCTGGCCTAGCCTGGTCCTGCCCAGCCAGCGGGTCTAACCCAACAGCCAGCTTTAGGACCACAGGATGCTGAGGGTGCTGGGGAGGGGAGTGTTGGGGAGGATGGGCCCCCACTCCCCAGTCAGCACCACCTCAGATCTTCCCCTTATAAATTTGCCCCCACCCAACCACAGAGACCTCTAAAAAATATGCTGTGAGAGGCCGCTAAGACTTCTGTCAGCTGAGCACAACTTTTGGTGAGAAGGCAATGCATACCTCTGGCCTTGTGTTGGCATCATCTGTGCATTTCTGTGTTCATTTACCCATCATGGATCCAAGGCTGGTGCTAAGGTAGAGCCAGGAAGGCACCAAGGTTACTCATTCTTGGAATCATGCAAGTGCTGGCCTTGGGTCTGAGTTCCCCATGACAATGGGGCGAGAGACAGGGTCTGTGCTGATTCTTCAGGGCCTGGAACACGTGCACTCAATCTATAGCTGAGTTGTTGAGTTTATGTTCTTTAAGGGGTTTATCGCCTGTGCTTGGCAGAGCAGACCTTTCCAGGGGCCTCATATCCTTGGGTAGGTGGGGGAGCAGGCAGGAGGAGTGACTGCGGTTCACTCCCATCAACAGCAGAATCTGCTTGTGGGAGCCTGAGGACCTGCATGCTGAGCTTTTCACTGCATTCATTTCTTCATTTGGTTTCTGGCCTCAAAGTCGAGGAATACTGGCCATTTGTACAAGTGACAGGAAAGAGCTGATGAGCCATGGCCCCTTCTGGTAAGGAGGGCACCGAAGCTGAGGCTGAGCGGTCTCTTTGGTAAGTGTCCACAAGCAAGGCAACGAGTCCTGGGGCCCTGCTTTGTCTGTCCTGGCCATGTTGCTCCTCTGAGCCCAGCCCAAGGCTGACAGGACACACAGGAGGTGTCCAAAATAAATACATTTGAGCTGGTATCAAGATGCCCAAGGAGGAGGAGAATTAAGTGCAGGGGGAAGGATGGAGGGATGGCTCAGTCCTATAGAGGGACAAGCTGGAAACTGTACAACTTAACTGTGTGGCAAGAGGGTGGGAGTTGGGCTCAGTGGTACAGACTGTCAAATACTCTCAAGGCTTTGGGTCACTAAAAACATTGTTGTAAAAATTATGGAAAGAAAGGAGGTCATTTCCTCTTAAGACAGGCTGAGCTCTATGATGGATGCTCACATGACCCAGGAGAGCCAACCCTACAGAGCAGGATGGAAGTGTTTTTAGTACCTCTGCTCTAAGCTCCTTAACCACAGCTGCCTTGAGGGTTTTTGTGGATCCCAGAAAATGGAAGTACAGTTCCCCAAGTCCGTGTACCAAGTTATGTGGCCAGGAGAACTGCAGGAACCAATGACTCATGGTCCCCTGGAGGAGCGTCAGTGACGCATCAAGGAGGTTTCCCAAGAAGTGACAGAGGAAATCTCTTTATCTTCCACCGCCTGGAAAAGCCTGCCAACATAGGGCTGTTTCTTTCTTTCCCTTTGACTGGTTGGTAGATTCAGATCAGCTTTGCAGCCCCCGCGGGCTGGGGATCTCTTTCTGAAAACAAGTTGCCCACTTCCTACAGAGACTGAGCTGCTGAGGAGGGGCGGGGGTGGGGATGAATAAGGATGAAAGAGCCCTCTTCCTCCTGCTAAGAGGCCTGGTGGGCGACACACCAGCAGGCTTCAAGAAGAGGGGTAGACCCCAGTGCTGCTTCCAGACCCTCTGCCTACTACTGTCAATGGAGGATCACAGCACACGACAGGACAGGAAAGAAAGGGAGACTCAACCGATGTTATTTCAGAAGAAAGAATCACAGAGGTTATGAGCTCAAGGTTGGTCAGGCAGTATTGGGCCTGCTGTCTTGTGGCCTTGGATGTGCAGCTTGATGATTTCCGGGATACGGATTTTGAAAATGATAGTTATGAACAAATTATCTCTTCTATTTGGATATTTAAGTTGATTTCAGTTTTTTAAATAATTGCAATGACCACAGCCCTTTAAAAAAAAAAAGTTATATTCTTTCCCCAAATGTTTGTCCTCACATTACGAAAGTAATATAAGATTGTGTTGTAAAGACTCACACAACACACAACCATTCAAATGCTGATTTTACTCATTTCTGCCATGTTCTGTGCTTGGATTTTTAAAATCAGAATTGGAAATTTCCCATTTGAAGCCAGTCATAGAGTAAATCCTAACAGATCCTCTTCTAAGATGTAAAAACACAAATATCCAGAGGCTTTGGTATATTATTAGAACAAATCCAACTTGCAGAAAAAATGAGATTAGGTTTTCTATATTCTATCTTATGCATTATGTATTCTATAAGATATAAATCTTCTTTTCAAAAAGTATATGCAGAAGAATCTGGAAGAACAGAAACTTTATTTTTTTTCTTTATTAATTTATTCACATATGCATACATTGTTTGGGCCATTTCTCCTCCCTGCCCCTTGCTCCTTCTCTCTTCCCCTCACCCCTCTCGCTTCCAGGCAGAACTTGTTCTGCCCTTTTCTCCAATTTTGTTGAAGAGAAGACATAAGCAATAATAAGAAAGATATAGCATTTTTGCTAGTTGAGATAAGGATAGCTATACAGAGAGATCCCTAGCATTGCTCCCATGCACATGTGTATTGCAGCCCACCTTGGTTCATCTCTATCAGACCTCTTCACTACTTCCTGGTCACCTTCCCATATTGACCTCTGTTGTTTTAAGGCTATTGTATTAGCTCCTCAACAAGAAACTTTAAAATATTGATTTTACATTATTTCTACAATGTTCTGTACTTGGATTTTAAAAAATACCTGTATTTCTCTTTCTTTGTTGAAATATCACCATCTATATCCGTATCTATTTATGAAAGTCAACTTATGACTTGATGGCTTTTGAAATTGAACACATTCATATAACCAACTCTCAGATGGAGAAGCAGAACCCGCCATCCTCAAACCTCAGCTCTTTCTAATGGCCACCCTGCACCGAGTTCACCGTGATCTGACTTTTAGTAATATTTCTTTGTATTGGCCATGCCTGTTTCCTATCCATGCTTAAATTTTGAGAGTGACCATGTACAGCACCACATTTTGTTATTAAAATGAGAATAATCAATACAGATGTTGTAAAATATATACATATGTAGTGGCCATCATTTGATGTCAGAATATATGGTTCTAGCACATGCCTTAACAGTTGTATAGACTCCCTTTTAAGGTTGCATTGTAATTTATCTAACTGCTCCCCACTTTAATTTTATTGTGGAGCTGGAGATTGAGCCCAGGGCTTTGGGCATTTTGGGCATGCTAGAAACTGGCCCATTTTGATGGCATTTGAAGTGTTGCCAATTTTTGGCCAATTTTAGGCCAAATGAAAACACATGGAACAACTTGAGGTGTATTTCTTTGTGCACGTCACTTGACTTATTTAAGTTAAATATCCATGAGTAGAATTGGTAGTCAGACAATATATGCATATATATATATATATATATATATATAGCAGGAATGGCCCCCCCAGACAGTAGGAACAACTCAGTTCCTTCTTTAGCACAGAAGTCAGGTGCTGGGTGTAGACCGCAGCCACCTGGCTCCTTGGGCAGCTAGAGTTGAGCCTGCCTCAGCAGCTGCCTGTTGCAGAGAACACAAAGGAGCCCAAACCACCCCTTGCCCCTAACCCAGCCCCACTTAAACTTGTAAACAAGTGAATGCAATTGCAGAGACTGCATCAGGGAACTGCCTCGGATATGAGAGCCGGCAGCAGGACAGGGGCCTTGAGGCCTGTTCTTACTTCTGCTGCAGACTGGGTGTGAGCCTTCAGGGAGGGCAGGTGCACACAGCAGGAGCTTTCTTTTCATCATTTGCATGGCATGGCCAGGCAAGGAGCCACCTTAATGATTTCTAGAGGAGTCTGGTCCAAATGACCCAGTCCTTTTCACCTTTCCCCTCAGCCTTGGAAGGTGGCCTGTCACTTGTCCCCTGGGCCGATGGGGAGAAAGTTTTTGCTTCTTTTGCTGCATCCCCCTCCCCCACATCTACACCTTCTAATTCCCACCCACCACACCCAGTTCTGCTGCAGCTGTACCTCAGATGGCAGGAGGTGGCCATCCTAACCCCTCCCCTGGATTACAGCCATCTTCCCTTTCCTGTTTCCTGTAACTTTTTTACATTCTGTGACTGCCAGAAGCCTCTGAACACCACTTGGTTTGTCAATACCCTTCTCTGATCTGGCTAGGAAAACAGATGGCGCTTGATTCTCCTTGGACCTGGCCACCGTGCCTCTGTGAAAGCACTCAGCTTGCATGGGATTTTGGCTCAATCACTTCTAGGCTACTAGAGACCAAGGCAGTAGCTAAGACAAGATCCAGGACTTTTTCAAAAGCCAGGGTCCTCCTCTCCAACCCCCTCCAGCTCAGTGTCTGCTCCTTGAGGGTTCCTTCTCTTTGGCATAAGGCTGCCCTGAGGCCAGGAGTCGCTGAGGCCCAGCCCTCAAGAGCAAGTGGTAGTGGTTGGGGGTGGCCTGGCAGGACATGGGCTGAAGGCATTTGGCAGTGGGGCATGATATCATGGGCTCTGGAGGCACTGGCATCCTGGCTCAAGGTTCTCTGGGTGCTTCCCAACCTCTCCAGCCTTCTCTACACCCACAATGCATATGGTGGGGACAAATGAGGATCTCAGTGTGAAATGAGAACATGCAAACTTTGTCCTTGTGTCTTTTCACCTGAGCATTGATATTTTTGCTGTAGATGGGTTTTTGTCCTTATATGTCACAGGAGCCACTTTCAACTTTAATCCAGGACTTTATTTTCATAACCAAGACGTTTTTGTAAAAAGAACAAGAGAGTGAGAGAAGAAATCTATAAGCACAGGAGGGGAAAAGTTGAAATTTCTTAGTGGGAGTTGAAGTGAAATTCCTTCTCCCAACCACACAACCACAAAGGAAGGCCTCAGAGACTAATATGGCTACTGGCAGCCAGGCAAGCCTTTTTAGGAAGCCTCATTTACAAGCTGGCTTCTCTGTGAGAGATACTCAATGGTGTCATCCCAGTTCTATCCCATGAGAGACCCAGGAGCCAATGGCACTGCCCTCCCAGGGCAAAGCAACTTATAAAGATGGTGCCTGGATGGGCAACATCTAGGTCCCAGCCCAGGAGAGTACAGAAGCTGGAAGTGGTGTCACAGTGGCAATTCTTAGTTCTCTGGCACACTCTGTAAGTGCTCTGGAGCCCTGAAGCCTCGTCTCTGAGACTCCCGATGACCAAGCAACAAGTTGTCCCCATGCATGAGGTCCATAGAAAGAACTTGCAGCAATTTAAAGCAGGCAGCTTGAGCAGGGCAAGGAAATCTGCACTGTCGCGTGTGTCCCTTCTCTCTCGTTTGTCCAGATCTCGCTCATTACTGACCACTGTTTTTTTATAGCTGGATGCCCAGAATGTAGACTCTCATCATTTGTAAAACCTGGAAATGACAGCAAGTTGCAGAGCACTTAAATGGTATTGTATTTCCTGTAGCAGAGACAGATGGAAAATGAGGTTGCTGGGCTCTATCCCAAGTAGATTGGGACTAACGGTTTTGTGTTAGGGTGTCTTTAGGGCCCATCTAAGCCATTTTAAAAAAATTAAAGTTAGAAAATAAAAAAAAACCACTCTCCCCAAAATATAGTCCCCAAAACTCAAGCTTTGAATGATGTTGCTAACTGCAGTGGCTTCTCAGATGAGCTCTTCACAAACGCACAGTAAATGGCCTACTGATGGGTGGTTCTCTGTGGACAGTCAGAGGCTGGTGAACATCTACCCCAAATCGCAACCTACGTTTGGAACAGCTGATCTGTGAGGCTCAGAGTGTGTTTCATCCACACCTGGATCATGATAGCAAAACCAGAAGTGGTTTTCAAACTTTTTTTTTAGCCACAAACTCTCATTCAAATGACATCTTGTGAGTAAATGTAAACCCATACAATAGATGAGAGCAGAGCTGTTCTAGTGAAAAGGTGAGGGGGGTTCAGGGACTCCCATGACCACCTTGAGCTCCCTGCCCACCTTACCTGGTCTTCAGAACCCCTGGTGTGCCAAAGCTTGATGTCCCACCTCCAGTTTCTCCGAAACTGGTATTAGATCACTGGAGAACTGGTTAACATGAAAAGGTGTGAAAGGAACAGACCACAGACAGCGCCCAGAATGGGTTTGTTCTCCATAAAAGGTCACCATGGGGAAGATTTTGAACAGAACTTTCTGGCAGTCTAGTCTTATCTCTTAGGTGGGGGAGCAGTTCCTAAGTCCAATCTATAAAGTGAAATTTCATGCCATCTGAATTATCATTGCAAATTGTTCACAAAATACAGTGGACATGGTTAAGTAATTCTTGTATATAATGATGTACAGTGTGTAATAATGAGAGTTAATGTGGACACTTTAATTCTAAAGTGTATAATAGTATATTCTGTTGCTTGGTGGGTAGACTCATAGACTTGAACTTATGTTTTACCAATTTGTGCTTTGACTCCATGGGATTAAGGGTCAAACACTTTATGGTCATTTTTCCTGCAGTCCTGACAAAAGGCATGAGGTTGGTACTGTTGTCCCATTTTACAGATGGGAAATAGAAGACTCAGAGAGGTGAAGTGACTCGCATAGAGTTACACGGTTGGTGAGTGGCAGACTAATTCAAACTCAGGTCTGCCTCTCGCTTGACCAGAGCCCTTGACCACAAAGCCCTGTTACTTTCTTGCATTTAGAAAGACATATCCTTTCCCCCAAAACACGTTCATGTGGAAATGGGGTGTTCTGAGGATCAAATCAGGTAGATAGATGTGAAAGAGTCTCAATGTTGAGGAAGAAAAGTCAAATCCAAGAACACCGCCCAAGGCTGAGGGTGCAGTACTAGCCCTGAAGGTGAGGAGAAACCACAGCCTCTGGCTGCTACCAGCCTCTGCCCGTCAAGCATTTATGGCCTGGAGGGTGCTTTTTATCTTTAATGAATTTATTTTTTATTGGAGGGGGGAGTCTTACTATTGTAAGGGTCTTACTATTGTAGCCCAGGCTAGCCTGGAACTTGCCTCCTCCTGCCTTAGATCTGAGTGCTGGGATTAGGGGCATGTGCCACCACTCCTGGCTGAAGGGTGCTTTTTAGCCCTTGCACTATGAGACTCAGTTTTGGGTTTGACAACTCCTGGGACCCAAGTGGGGTCTAGGAGGGTTGGGAATTTAGCTCAGTGGAAGAGCGCTTGCCTGGCAATTGTAAGGCCCTGAGTTCGGTCCCCAGCACCGAAAAAAAAAAAAAAAAAAAAAGCAAAAAAAAAAAAACCAAGTGGGGTCTAGGGTGGCTGATGAGACGAAGACAGCACCTAGGAAAGGGACAACTGCCGGTGGAGAAGCCTGGTGTTGGAGACAATCACCTGTCTTTGTAACATGGGGGTAATGACCTTCCTGACTTGGGTTGAATGAAATCATGGGTGGGAAAGAACCTGGGATTCTCTCTGGTAGTCTGTGCACGTGGAGGTTGACTGCTAGCATTAAGAGAGCTGAGATCTTGTCTTACCTACTTGGAATACATTGAGTGGTTAGTCAGTAATTTTGCTTATTTAGGTTAGCTCTTTCCCTGAATTCTGTCAACCTGTCTGTTTATGATTCTTTGAAGGTGACATCTGACTGCAGTCAGGGCTGCAGCCAGCAGCAGAGGCTAAGAAGCCCAGGGCCACACCAAGGAAGACACTCACTGTTTCATGAAGCGCAGTCGGGCTCTCCTCCGCAGACCTGGAAGAGCAGAGTAAGGGCACCAGTCAGCTCGGGCTGGGGGACCACTGGCCCCAAGCCCTGGAGACCAAGGAGGAGGACAGGATCTGACAATGCCCCAGACCTTGTCCCTGATGCCAGGCTGGACCCAAATGCTTCAAACATCTTAACTCCCTTCATTCTCACTATGAGCCTATGAGCTAGGTACGTGACTATGTCCATTTACAATGGGGAAAGTGAGGCACAGAGTGAATGGGTTACTGGGTAACCTGCCCAAAGCCATGCAGCTAGCAAGTGGTAAGGCTAGAATTCAAATGCACTTCCTCTACTCCAGTTTCTCTTGCCCTTCACAGCAGGTCAGGCATGAGAGGTTCTGCTTCACGTGGGTGTCAGGGGATAAGCAAGATTTCCCACTGGGATGTAGGAAGGAAAGTAACTGTGTCCTCTTATATTTTATCTCATCCTTTATTACTCTTTATCTTTGAAATACATTGAATAGTATTCATAATATATTAAATAAATGTAACTAATTGCAGATAGTGTTAGCTATTTAAATTTTTTTACTGTTGGTACTTAGGATTGAACTCATGGCCTCATGCTTGCTGGACAGGTGTCTACCACTTGAGCCACTCTACCACACCGGCAATTTAAAATTTCTTCATTGTGAGGTCCTTAAACAGAAAAGTTTGCAGACCACTGAAGCATAATGGGGTTCTTAGAACAGGATACACAGATCCCTATGTAGGAGCAAAGCACATGGATATGGCTTCACTTCTCTGGGAAGAGGGCTCACAATTGTCATCATGTGTTCAAAGGGGTCTGTGACCTATAAAAGCTAAGATCCACTGATGCTCCCCTCATTGTGCACAAGTCCAGGGAAGGGTAAGTGACTTGTTCAGTGTGGCACAGGTGAGCATAAAAGCCAGGGGCAGTCTGGGCTTCCCTTTTCTCTGCGCATCCTGATTATGAGGACAGTGTCCTGCAGCGCCTAGGGAGACCATGGAAGGGGATGGGCCTATGCTCTGAGTGGCCAAGAGCACCTGACACCTGAGTTTCCCCAGGGTCTCATGGAGGGGAGGGACTTGTATGACTGGCAATCTCCTCTGGACACTGGGTCTGCATCCCTACCGCTCCCATGAGTTCCTGTCCTCGGGGCACATGCCATGTGCCAGGTGCTCTGGGAAGGATTTTACAAACAGTAGCCCTAGCAGGTAGGCAATGTTTTATCCCTGTGTGAGGCAGCTGAGACCCACTGAGGCCAAGGTCACTAGATGAGGGAACAGCAGCATTAGACTCAAACCAAGATTCATCTGACCCCAGAGACAGATGGTCTCTCATTCTGGCAGCAGGACTGCAGGTCAAGGATCACATCTGGGTATGGGGGTGTGGCTCAGTAGTAGAGTTTGTACTTAGCATGCATGATACCTGGGGTTTGATCTCCAGTACCCCTACCTAAGAAGCTCCCCGTAAATGAAAAGAATCACTTCCAGAACTACTATAGGTTCTGTGGAGCTGCCGTCTACTCTGCTGCCCTAAAGAATAAACTATTCCCAGGGTCCTTCAACTGGGGCTCCATGATGACCCAGGAAAGGGCAACTCACAGTGCAGGTGGATGGCCACACCAAGGGACACCAGCAGAACCAGTATGCCAGCCACAAGAAGGCTGAGGATGATGGGGCTACATGGCAGACCTGGAAAAGACACACATGACATGTGTTCAACACTGAGCACTTGAGACACACAGACATGCAAGGGAAAAATCACCAGGATCCCACCTCTTGGAGATACCACTGGTTGCATTTTGGAGTACTTCCTTCTAGTCTTTTTTGTATGCACTTTAAATATATTGATATAATTTTATATAAAATATGTCTTATCTCCTATCTGACTTTTTAAAAAATTAATTAAATGCTGTTTATGTTCAAGAGAGGTAGAAAGTTCTCATGCCTATTAATGATACTTTATTTTAGCTATTTATTTTAAATTTTATTGGAATGTCACAAGATATAGCTGAATGCATTTCCATTGTAAAAGATTTAAACATATGGTTAAAATCCGTCTAGCTTCCTTCTTCACAAAAGTGACCAGTTAATAATTTGGTAATCTTTCCCTTTGCATTCACACATGCATAATTTCCACAGACACAGAAGGTTTTTCAGTGGATTATTTTTTTCCCTTCCCTTAATCATGGCAGCACATTCTTTTTCCTAGCAGGGAAACACATGACTATACAAGTATACCATGGTTTATTTAGCCATCTGTGGGCATTTTGGCTGTCTCCTGAGTTTTATTCTTATAAGTAACGCTTCAGAGAACATTCTTGCATGTTTCTGTATGTAGACGCTGTTCTGGGGCAGATACTCAAAATGGGAACTACCACTAACAAATAGATTTTGTCCATTTTACCTTGTAATAGATGCTGTCAAATGTCTTCCTTTCCATTCCCAACCACCAGTAGTGTGCCCTGCAGGATCTTAATATCAGCAGTTTTTAGATTTTGCCATCCAGTGTGTGTGTGTAAGGGGGGGTGACATTTCACTTCAATCTTGTTATGTGTGAGCTGCAGCCTGTGATATATTCATATATAGATCACTTGCATGGTTTTTCTTGAGTTGGCTATCTGTTCCTCTGTCCATCTCATTTTATTTTATGAATCTATTTTTTGAGACAGGGTCTCACTATGTAGTCCAAGTTGGTCTTAAACTTTTGATCCTCCTGCCTCAGCTTCCCAAGCACTGGAACTACAGGCATACACCACCATGCCTGACTCCTTTGTCCATTTTGCATGCCAGTTCAGCGGTAGAGTTTATATTCTCATTGCCTCGAATCCTCCTCCACTCCCTTTGAGGCCCCTGTGTCTGATTCCTCTGAGTAGCTGAGGTGCAAAGCCAAGGTCCATGTGTGAAAGCACAAGGTTGTGGGCTTGGACTCGGGGTTAATATAATTAGAAAGGGTTTTGGATGTCAGGGAGGGAGAGAATTTTTACGGGAACCTTATGACGTGCCAAGGTCAGGGCTAACTGCAAGTTTCGTCTTGTGAGGAAGGAAGGTATTACCATTATTTTTCTCTCTCATTTTGCTGTTCGTGAAAACCAAGATCCAAAGGCCCCAAATCACCCAGCTACTAGAAGGCAGAGCCAGAGAGGATACAGGACTTAGAGGACATAGGTCCTTTGGGTTCTAAAGTCCCTACTGGTCCTACCTGAGTGGCTTGGATGTGGGAAATAGCAGAGGGAGTGGGAGAGCGTCGGCCATCACCAGAGGGGAACAAGCCAAGGTTGGATGGCTGTGATGTGGACAGAGGACTCCTGCGTGGGCGGGAGGATAGGCCAGAGGCCCACCTCTGAGATGCTAAGGGTTTCACCCCCTCCATGTTCTCCCAACTTGGAAACACCTCAAAAATATGGCACTAAGTGAAAGAAGCCTTGCATACTTAAAATGGGGGAGTTTAGTTATGCCTCCAGAAAGTTTAAGCAGTGGAGATGGCCGCAGGGTGGCAGGCCCCTGGGGAGAGGCCCGCAGTGCAGCCGCAGGTCTCCAGGGAAGCACCGTCCTTTGGCTGAACTGGATGTCCGGCTTCTCTTGCTTCCTCAGCGTAGGGTCCTGTCGTATTTGTGTTTTTCTTTTTCTTTTACATCGGAGTCTAACTATGTCGCCCAAACTGGTCTCAAACTCATGAGCTCAAGCAATCCTCCCACCTCAGCCTCATGAGTAGCTGGGACCACAGGTGTCTGTGCTTTGTACCTTCTTTTTTTTTTTTTTAAATTGCAGCTTGCCTGAAATCCTTCAGGTGAAGTTATCAGGGCATATTGCACTGGAAAATGAGGTCACGCTGTCCCCACTTTATGTTCTCTAAGACTTCATCTTTCTCTTCACTGGGACCGCATCTGGCAGCTTCCCACCCTGTCTGCTGCTCCTGAATAGGTGGACCTTCTCAGTTGCTCTGTATTTAAAGACAATGTTGGTTCTTTATACAATCTTAGCTCTCTATGTTGTAAGACGAAGCAACCCGAGCAGCACAGGCAGTCCTGGAGTGGGGGGCTCTTGTGGTTTGTTCTCTAGGTGACAGCAGATGGTACTTTCTGTTTGTTACCAGTAACTTTTGGGGGTTGAAGTCAGTATTTTTCCAGAAACACATTTGGCTGATGCGTTCAAGGAAAGTGTGTATGTATACGCCCATGTGAGCAGGCGTGCTTGTGTGAGTGTGTGTATGTTTGTGTGACCATGTGTGTGCTTGTGTGACCACATGTGTGTTTGTGTGAGTGTGTACATGTGCCTACTCCAGCTGAGGCTTCTGAGCAGAGAGGCACGTTTGTTCTCTCATTAAGGGAGTGTGTTAGAGCCTCTGTTAGATATCGAAACTGGAAGAATTTCAATGCTGGCTCTTTGGGTTGGATTTTTTGTTCGTTAACAGCTTTATTGAGACATCCATAAGTCACAGATCGCAGAGTCCACCCGTTTAAAGTGTACAGTTTGATAGAGTTGTGTACCCATCGGTATAATCTAACTTCAGAACATTTCCTTCTCTCCAGAAAGAAGTCTCAGATCCACTAGGAGTTATTTCTCATTCCTCCCCAGCCCCACAGCCTTCCGCAGCTCCTCATTCCACTTTCTATCTCTATGAAATGTCCTACTCTGGACATTTCATGCCAATGGAATTGCACAATATGTGATCATTTGTGACTGGTCTCTTTTACATAACATTTATGTTTTACATAACATTTCTAAGGTTCATACCAGCTTTATTGATTTATTTAGAGACAGGGTCTTGCCAGGCTGGCTTCGAACTTGCAATTCTCCTGCCTCAGCCTCCTGAGTGTTGGGATTACAGGCATACCTAGGCAGTACTTCATTCTTTCCGTCACACTGTAACGTATATATCTCATTTCAGTAGCACATTCCTTAGTTGGTAGACATTAGGGTTGCTTCTATTTTTCGGCTATCATGACTAATGCTACTGCATAGTAGCATTGGTGAATGGATCCTCATTTAAATTTCTTTTCTGTGTGATTGCAAGTCTGAGCACACTAAATGGTAAACCACGATCGATCATTCTCAGCATCCCTTCTGACCCAACTCAAGGCAGGAGAAACAGGCTACAGCCAACACGTGGCAAGTGCTTGCAGAAGGAAGGAGGGCTGGCAGAGTGGCTTACGTGGTAAAATGCCTGCCTAACAAGTGTGAGGCCCTGAGTTCAAACCCTAGTATTTCCAAAAAAAAAAAGGAAAAATTAAAAGGAAGAGCACAGGGGATGGAGACTCACCCTTCCGAGTTACTGGGCTGGGGGGCCGGCACACTTTCTTCCTGGTGGTCTTCTTGGTGGGCTGAGCAGTGGTGGGAAAGACATCAACTACAGAAAGAAAGCAAGACTCACAGCTCAGCCAGGTAAATGACAGGTGGACTTAGAGAAACACTGTGCTTTACATGCGGTACTAAATTCCTCACGATCATTCCCAAGGCTGCTACAGGACTTCCAGTCACAGAGTAAGAGACCTGTTGATGTTCTCAGGTGTGTCTGGGACCTATGCATAGGGGTCAGCTTGGTGTGCTTAAGAGAGAGCTCTGGAGCCACCAGACCCAAACAGAGCCCAGTGGTCCTGATGAACCACTGTGTGACTTGGGGCAAGTCATTATGCTTTTCTGTGCCTCGAGTTCCCCATTTGCTGTAATAAAGAGGATTCCTACTTCTTTCTCAAGGTTGTGAAAGTTATGGGACCGTGTGCCCTGCATAGTGTGCAGTAGACATGGATCCACCTGGCAGAAGACTGGTATCCTCAGGCCCTGGGCAAGCCTAAGCCAGTGGGGGAAGGTCGCGGAAAGGAGGAGGCTGCCTTTTTCTGCATGGACCATGCCATGTGGGCTGTCTATTAGGGGATTTGTTCTCCTTCTCAGTTGTCCTTAAAAATCATATAACACTGAGCTAGAGGAACATTTAGTCTCAAACTTTAATTTCAAAGGTGGATGTCTGAGACAAGGGGGCACTGACTTCTGAGTAGTACGTGTCAGGCTGGGACCTCAGGTCCTCCTCCTGGCTCTGGGTGGCATTCCTCTCCTTCATTCTGACCCAGGGACCCATACGGCTTCAGATGGAAGAGGACAGTGGGTCAGCACAGTGAGCCAGGGGAGACTTGTGGTTCTGAGGTGCGCAGTGAGGAAACAGCTCCGTGACACGGTTCTCAGTAAAGTGGTAGGAGAGGGGACAGAGAGACAGCTTGAGCTTAAACTCTAGAGCCAAGGGGCCAAGGAGGAGCAGCCAGCACATGGTCATTGTGGGCCAGCAACTGCCATATATAAAGCGTACACTGTGGTCCTCTCTCCTGAGCCTCCATGAAGACAGCACAGCTGACTTTGTTGGCTTCAGGATGCTTCTGGGAAGAAACGAACTAGAAGGAACATGCTCAGCTCCCAGTGTGCCGGTGGCAGGGCCAAGTATTTAAGATTTACTGATGACAACAACTTTTGGGGTAGGCATTACGACCCCCAGTTTATCCACTAGGAAACTTAGGCTCAGATGGCTGAAATAACTTGGCTACATTAGGTAGCCATTGAACTGCAGTCAAGATCTGAACCAAAAGATGATTCTAGACTCTTTGCTACCCAATTTCCCATGCTGCTTCAAGGGCAAATGCTTTCTGACAAAAAGTTAAACATATTAGGTCCATCCAAGATCTTTGGTCATCAGTGTTCTCTAAGATACCCAGGGACACAGTTGGGAGGTGTGTGCAAGGAGTGTGACCCCCTGCTGGGATGTTAGCTCCCTTAATGCTCATGGGCCTGGAAGTCATTCTGCTACCCTCATTTTCTTCTCAAAGAAGCAGGAGTCTCTCAGCTGGTCCATGGTGAGCCTGGAAGGGAGCCAGCTATAATAGCCCTCAGTGTCTTGGCTGGCCACAGTGACCTGTGTCTGGTGGAAGGGAGGGGCTGGGAGGTAGGAAGAGCTGTTCTAATTTCATCTTGTCTCCTTCATCCCTCCTGACCCCCTAGTTCAACCTCTTCCACTGTGTCCTTGAAAGGGACAGGCCTTTTTGAGCCCATGGTATGCTTAAGAGGTCTGAACAAGGCCCTGCCTCCCCTCCTACCCCCTATCCACTTTCTCTACCCCAGGTGCATCCTCTAAAACACAGACCTTTCTGTCAATCAGGCAGGCTCTAGTTCTGGATACCCTGGCCTTGGGGAGATTGTAGAGATGTAAGAGAGCTTTGGGGAGGTGCTGTCATTCCTGGGATGCTGGGCAGCATGCGGGGCCTGGAAACATGGAAGCCAGGAATGGGTGGAGGTGGAGGTTATAGAAAATTTCTGAAGACCAGTTATCCTTATTTCACCATCCACCTTTCTCAGACACCAGAATCTCATGAGTGGGAAGATGTGGTGAGCAGAAACAAAAACAAACCAAACCAAAACCAAATCCCCTAAATCCCATGTATCCATACAAGAATCAGGGGACTCTTACCCTGAGGGAGGCCTCAGCCTGCCCAGGATCCCATAATGAAAGGCCTGAGGCTGGAGAGGCAATAGGGCATCACTCTGGGTTTTGTTTTCCTGTATGTGTGTTTTTTTGGGGGGAGGGGGTTGGTGACACTGGGATTTGAACTCAGGGCTTATGTGCTTGAGAGGCCAGCATTCTAATATTTGAGTTATGGCTCTAGCCCTTTGTGCTCTGGTTATTTTGGAGATAGGGTCTTGCTTTTTGCCCAGGCTGGCCTGGACCAAGATCTTCCTGTTTATTCTTCCATGTCCTGGGATGACAGTCACACACTACCACACCGAGCTTTCTTCCATTGCGATGGGGTTTCCAAAACTTTTTTGCCTGGGCTGGCCTGGAGCAGCAGTCCTCCAGATCTCAGCCTCCTCATAGCTTGAGATGACAAGTGTGCACCACCAGGCCCAGCTATTAGTCCAGGTGGCGTCCTACTAACTTTTTGTACAGGCTAGCCTTGAATATCGATCCTCCTTACCTCAGCCTCCCAAGTAGCTAAGATTACAAGTGCGAGCCACCAGTGCCTAACTTTGCTTGTTTTTTGAGGCAGGGTCTCACTTTGTAGCCCAAGCTAGCTTTGAGCTCATGATCCTCTTGCTTCAGCCTCCCAAGTGCTGAAATTATAGGCATGTACTGCCAGCCATGCCAGGCTGGTTTTTGTCTTCCTAAACTGTACTGCTATCCCTGCCTCCTCACGCTGAGTGGTCTAACCTCTGTGGTACCTGTCCCTGTCAGTGCCCCCAGGTGAGCAGAAAGCAGGGCAGTGGGAGGACTGACTCTGGGCTGAGCAAGGGAAGGGGCTTCAGCCACACAAGGGCCTGTGAGAATCTGCCACAGACCCTTCCACCCTTGCAGCTGAACCTCACTTCTCACGTGCTGCCGAGCATGTACAGCGTGGCCACTCTGAACAGAGATACTCTTTGCACACAAAATAAGATTATTTCAGCAATAATGTTCATATTGGCTGCCTGTTAAGTTAGGTTAAGTAAAATGTATTACGTGAATTAGTTTCACTGGTTTCTTTTTACTTTTTTTTTAACCTGGCTGTTAGGAAATGTAAAATTACATGTGCGGCTTGCAGCCATTTCCACCGCATGCACTGACTTAACTCAAGGAATGAGCGTTTCCCAGGGATGGGGGAGTCAGCAGCCCCACGTGGAGATGAGAAAACTGAAGCCCAGGAGGGGAATGACCTGCTCAAAGGCACGCAGCAAATTTTCAGCAGAGTTGGGCCTGAGGCTCCGTTTGCTTACTCTCTGTGAGCCATAGAACCCTGAAAAGAAGATTGAGGGCATCCACCCCTTGCTACACTGGAAATGCTCTAAGGGTGTCCAGGCCATGAGGGCCTTCTTTCCCTGTGTGTATACTCAGGTTTCTTTCTTTCTTTGCAATATTTTTTTTAATTTATTTTTTGGTGGGATTGGAGTTTGAACCCAGGGCGTCTCACTTGCAAAGCAGGTGCTCTACCACTTGAGCCACACCTCCAGTCCATTTTGCTCTGGTTATTTTGGAGATGGGGGCTCATGAACTATTTGCCCAGGCTGGCCTCAAACTGCAATGGTCCCAATCTCAGCCTCACAAGTAGCTAGGATTACAGGTATGAGCCACTGGTGCCTGGCAGTACTGAGGTTTGAATTCAGTGCCTTGCACTTACTAGGCAAGAGTTCTACCACTTGAGTCACATACTCAAGACCTTTCTTACTTTAGTTATTTTTCAGTTAGGGTCTCACATTTTTTTGCTTGTGCTGGCCTCAGACCTCAATCCTCCTACCTATGCCTCCTATGTAGCTGGTATTACTGGCTTACTGCTTGGCTTATTGATTGAGGTGGGAACTTGATTACTGTTTGCCTGGGCTGACCTTGAACTTTGATCTTCCCGATTTCCACCTCCCAAGTAGCTGGCATTGCACTACGCTCATTCAGTACTCAGGATTTCTGAGACTACTGTCAAGTGCTTAAGTCCCATCCAGCCACAGCCTCAGTGGGCCTGACATGATCTGAAAGACTGCATTGCCCTGTTTCCACAAGAAGCATAGCTTCTGACTCTCAGTCTCATCTGTTCCCATCCAAAGTAGAATTCCTAATATACTGTGAGCTAGGTGAGTGGCAGCATTGACACGACTATGTACAACACTCATGGGTGCTTTGCCTAGGTGATTCTCTACACAGATTTCCTGTTACTATCAGCAACAGTGCTGTTAGGCATGGCTGCAGAGTATGACCCACTGAGGGCGGGGCAGCCCCAACGCACTCAGAAAGTGTGTGCTGCTAATTTATAAGCATCAAGTCTGTTCTTACCCACACTCAGCTGAGTTCCCCTCCCGAAGGTCAGCTCCGGGGTCCCGATGGTCATGCAGAAGTAGACACCGCTGTCTGCAGGCTTCAAACTCGTGAGATTGAGAATGGACCGGCCCATTTCCCGATACAAAGTTAGATTCTCCTTTGTCACTCCATTGCCATACATAGTCCCTTTTAGAGGATGCCAGGAGGCCAGGATCTCATAATGACTGTCCTTGCTGGGGGCCTGGCGCTGTCTCAGCCAGTAGGTGTGCGTGTTGCTCGGAGAGTTTTTAGCATCACAGTACAGCACCACCACTTGGTTGGTCAGAACATTTTTGGGCTCAGGGGCCTGCTGGAAGGCAGAGCTGCCATGGAGAGCTGCAAGGAGTCAGAAGGCACAGAGACTATCAGCACATTTTCCTGGCCACAGAGTCCCACCAAGCCACATGTTAAAGGCAAAGCCATGGAAGAACCTGCCAGTGACAGGGCCCAGGGTGTCAAATGCAGCTGGCACCTCCTAGACTCTGAGCCCACAGAGATCACTACCAGGTATTGTTTGTCATGGAAGCCTTACAGTAGGCACAGGGGACACTGTGGCCATTTGTTAACAGTATACTTATATGTATGGTCCTTGGCATAAATTATTTCAGCCATGTCTCAAACTGGCTTCAGGATTTGCACCCCCATTGCACAGATGAGAAAACTTAGACATAAATTACTTGTTTAAAGTCTCACTTGCAGTTATAAAGTGGCCTGAGACTCAAACTCGAGGATCACAAGTCTGAAGCCTTTCACCTTGTGTGGCTGCCACACCATGCATAGGTCATCCATCAGCTCCAAGCAGCTGGAGGAAACCGAAGAGCCAGGGCAAGGTGGGAGAGCAGCTCAGTCATAGACAAGAGCACATGGCTGGTTTAGACAACCTGAGACAGGACCCGTCACCATTTCTAGACAAAGAGCAAAAGGAGCTCACTGTCCCTGGTAGGCACAATCATAGCCCATTACTCCCCAGCCCAGCAATTGATGGGCATCTGCAGCCCCATGCTCCAGAGGAAGGACAGAGACCCCTCCCCCTGAAGCAGAGCTGGGAGTTCATCTTAGTCTCAGAGGGGAAGACTCAGTAGGTAAGAACTTGTTCATGAGGAACTAGAGTAGGACTCATGGGCCTGGCTGTGAACCTAGCTGCTCTGTACCAGTTACAGGACCATAGGGAAGTCAGCGAGCCGCTGTCTTCTCCCTGTGAAAGGAGGGTGGCTGGGTGCTATTGTCTTGCTTGCTGCTGAGGGTTAAATAGAAAGGAAGAATGCCCAAGAAATCACACTGCAAACTACGAAGCATGGCACACGGGTAAATACTGTCCCTTGTCTCACATTTCAGGGCTGTTGCTGGCAGTTACTGGATCAGAACAGGCTTTCACCGTGATCAGGGCCACTCAGGTTCCAACAAACTCAATCTGACCTAGCAAGCCTTTCATTTTGGCTATGGACAGAGGATGACCCTGCAGACCATGTGCAGGCACAAAGGGGACCTGAGAGGGCAGAGGAGGCCAGTATATGCAGGCAGTGTGTGTGTGTGTGTGAGTGTGAGTGTGTACACACAGGAGGAGCTGGCTTCCTGAGTTAGTGGCCCTTGTCCCTGCCTGTACTTGTAGCTGAGACTTCATGGCCCTATCATGGCTTCCCTAGGACTGATGAGATGAACTTAAACCTTTGGACACCACTCTGAACTTCTGCTTGCATCAAGAACAAATTTGCACTTGGGGCGCAGGTGGTTGGTTGATGGACTTTCTCTTTTCTCCCCAAACACCAGACTGCCTCTCCAGCCGGGCAGGGGTTCTTCATTGTTTTGGGTCATTGATCTCTTTGGGAAGTTAATAGGATTCCATGACGCCAACATCTATTGAGCTGTTCTGAGCACAGTGTGTGCATTATCTCATTTAATCCTCACCAGATTCTACACGGGAAGAGACTTTCATACCCATTTTATAAATGAGGAAAAAGAGGCTAAGGAAGGTAAGGACATGCTCAAGGTCACACAGCCTGTATGTAGCGGACCTACATTCAAACCTGGATTGTGGGACCCCAGAATCTGAGCTTGGAGCCACTGAGTCAAGGAAATGTGTGGTCCTCTCCTGGGTCTTGCACACATAGTGGGGCTGAAAATGCACAGATGACAGAAGCCTTTCCAAGAAAGCCCAGAAATGACTCCTGAAAGGGTGAGGCTTGGGCTGTGAGTGTGTATTTCCTTCTGCTAAGACGCACTCTGATTTCCCACTCCCTCGCTGTCTCTAGTTCACTTGCTTTAAGCTTGTGTGGACTGAAGCTGGTTGTGACCAGACCCTTAGTGCGCTGGACACAAAACCAGGCATCAAGACACATGTGGTCTTGTTTGATCTTCACAGTAACCCACCAATTCCATTCTCAAAAGGACCTGCTATTTCTAGACACCTCAGCAATAACCTTAGTCGCTTTGAATGTCCTGGACTCATTTCCATTTCTGATGTGATTGAGCTCATTGGGTCACAGTGGGGATAGCAGGTCTTGTCCCCCACTACAGGATAATCAGTTTGGGGCTTTTGGAACCACAGACTAGTGGGCATCTGGGGGCAGAGTGGGGGGTTTCTTCAAGAAGGCAATCTGTCTGGGCTTAGACTCAGTCTCATTCCACACCTGTGCCCCAATTCCAATTCTAGTGCTGCTTCTTAGGGGAGCCACACTACACAGGACCCCCAGAGAACACTTGAGAGCCGGGGAGTGGAGAAGGAGCGTCTAACCAGAGGTGTCCCAGAACTGGCGTCATTGGGCGGTATTTGTCCAATTCTACTACAAACACTTCCCCGGAAGGGATAAAAATGTGTCTATAGGACCCTCCGCCGGGGCCAAGTATGGGGCAAGAAGGCCAGACTGGGCCCTTGGCACCTCCCAGAAAGAGAGGGAGCACATCCCATTGGGGCTCCCGGATAAGGACATTTTTCCTTTCTGTCTGGATCCCCCTTCCCCTTTTTCCTTCCTTCCTTCCTTCCTTTCTTCTCTCTCCTTTTTTTCCTGCCTCCTCTTCTCTTCTTCACCTCCTGAGCAGGGGTGACCTAGGTCTGGGGCTCTCCAGCCCTCTGGGGTGGGAAGATGGAGGACATTCCTCCCTACCCTCAGGGATTGTGCCTGCCCAACCGCCTCCCCGGGTCCCCGCAGCTGGGCTCTGCCTGTCGTTTCTAAACTCCACTGTCACCTGTCTGTCGAAGACCCCCGCCCCCGTCCCTGTCCCGTAGGTCGAGTGTCCTCCGCCTCACCTGCGAGCTGCGCGGCCAGAACCAGCCAGAGCCGCGGCTGCATCTTGGGGCGCCGGGACGCCTGGTCCCCGTGGCTCCGCTGACACCGTCGGGCAGAGGGTGGGTGGGAGCGACGGGCGGGGTACACCGGCTGAGGTGAGGTGCGGATGGGGTACAGCGGGCGGGGCCGGGCCGGCAGCAGTGGGGGGAGGGGGGGGAGGCGGGGGATCGCAAGGTCCCCGCCCTCATCCTCCCGCATGTCAAAAGTCTGCATTTCTCAAAAGCCCACCGGGACCCCGTACTTTCTGGTAAGGATGAGACAAGGCTGACTTGTGCCAAGCAGTGGCATGTGTGTGAATGTCCCCTGCCCTGGGAGGTGCTGAGCAGGGCGGGGCTGTGACCACCTGTGACAGCTGGGTCAACTGAGGCTCAGAAGTCAGCACGATTTCGGTGCCCAGGGTTCAGCTGGGCCCGGAGTGATGGAGACTCCAGGCCCCGCCCTGCTTGTGAAGGAGAGGAAAGTTAACTGACCTTGACACTCAGCCAGATGGGGGAGGAAGGGAGGGGAACTGGGAGCTGGGGCTCTGGAAAGGGCCCCAACTCTGCCTGAGCTCGGGGTGAAGCCAAACCTAGTCCTTCAGAGGCCCAAAGGACTGAGATGATGGGAGTGGGGAGGGCACGCCTGGTGCCCTATTTTCCTTCTTTGCCTGTGGTGACATTCAGGCTCGATCAGAGACCCTTGTCAGGGAAGACCTAGCTTGGCCATTGTGGGTTAGGGAGGAGAGGACTGAAGGGTTGGGGCAGGGGGCTGTCCAGGGAGAACTGTGTCCCCAGTGACCTGCAAGGAAGAGGGAGGCTGAGAAGATCTCTGGGGACAGTCACCAGCAGAACTCACAAATGTTAAAAAGGACCGGGTAGGCCAGGGCCCTGGGTCACCCACAGAACTTGGAGTTGGTGAATTGGGGATGGTGTGTCACTGAAGCGCTAAAGCTGCAGCCCGGTGAGGGGTGAGGACACCGTGACCTTTGGTGTCCAAATCCATCCCACTCTTGCCGGTTGGTGGTGACAGGCATCACTGATGCTGGTCAGAGAGTTCAAAGGCACTGGAGGGGAAGCAGGAAGAAGGAAGTGGGGTGTGTCCTGAGTATGGGCTATTCCGGGCCTGTCAGAGTCTCCTTCCTGCTCTCATATATATCCCTGCTGTTCCTGGCAGCAACTGCTGAGGCCTGGGTCTGCACAGGGCAGACGGTCCTGAGGAGACCACTGTAGTGTTGGTTTTTGTTGTTTTCAGCTGTACTGGGGTTTGATCTAATTGCCTTGTGTTTGGTAGGCAAGTCTCTACCACTTGAGCCATGCCCCCAGCCCTTTCTGCTTTAGTTTATTTTTCAGGTGGCCTCATGTTTTTTGCTTAGGGACAGTCTCAGACTGCCATCCTCCTTCCTGCTGCGTAGCTGCCTTCTCCTGCCCCAATCCTTCAACCCCTTCCTCTGCTAACCCATAATGGCCAAGCCAGTTCTTCCCTGACAAGGGTCTCTGATTGAGCCTGAATGTCACCACAGGCAGAGGAGGAAAGCAGGGCACCAGGCGTGCCCTCCCCACTCCCATCATCTCAGTCCTTTGGGCCTCTGACAGTCTAGGTTTGGCTTTACCCGAGCTCAGGCAGGGTTGGGGCCCTTTCCAGAGCCCCAGCTCCCAGATGTGCACCATCGTGCCCAGCTTATTTATTGAGATAGGGTCTTGCTAGCTTTTTTTGTTCCAGTTCACTTGGAACCATGATCCTCCCAATTTCCAACTCCCATGTGGCTGGGATTATAGATATGTACCACCACACCCAACCCAAAAGTATTGGTGTGAAATTCACATAACATAAAATAAACCAACTGAAAGTGTACAATAAACTAGTAAATAGTACATTTACTCCCTATTACCCTCCCTCCAGATCCAGCAACTACTAATCTTCATTTTGTCTCTGGATTTACCTGTTTTGGATAGTTCATGTAAAAGGAATCTTACGACACATGATCTTTGGTATATGACTTCTTTCACTTAGTATAATGTATGTGAGGTTCCTCTACCCCATTGTACATATCAGCTCTTCGGCCCTCTCTATTGCCGAGTAATATATTGGTGCATGTGTTTACCATGGTTTGTCTGTCCTTTATCTATCGATGGACATTCAGGTTGGCTGTTGTGGCTGCCTTTTGGTTATTGTGCATAGCGCTGCTAGAAACATCCATGTACAGCTATGTGTTTGGGTCTGTCTTTTCAGTCCTCTGGGTGCACCTACAGTGGAATTGCTGGGTCACACACAGAAACTATGTTTAACTTCCCAAGGAGCTGCCCACCTGTCTTCCATTTACCTTCCCAACAGGGGAGGAGACTTCCAACTTCCCCAAATCCTCCACAGCACTTATTACTTTCCCTCTTTGTTTTTGTATTTATCCTAGTGGATGTGTAGTGTAGCTCATTGTGGTTTTGATTTGCATTTTCCTAATGACTAATTGGCATATTTTATTGCTTGTTGGCCAATTGCATTTCTTCTTTGTCTATTTCAAATCTAGTCTGACTGGTAGAGTGGCTCAAGTGGTAAGAGCTCCAGTCTAGCAAGTGTGAGGCCCTGAGTTCAAACTCCAGTGCCACCAAAAAAAAGAAGAAAATCTCGTCTTTCTACCCACTCTCATGGCACCTAAGCTTTGTAAAGGAAGTGATTTTCTCACTGAATAATTAAAAGTTACTTACTGCTTTGTCAAGTCACAGGAAGGGAACTCCTGATGCACTGGTAAAGGAGACCCTTACTCTTGTGATCAGCTAACCCTTCTATCTTAGTGATTTAACTCCAAATAAATTGACAGAGTTGTTGCCATTCAAATGCAGTGTGCCAGACTAGGGGGTATTTGCTTCACTCCATTCTGCAGGGAACAACACTTTTTCTGTCTCATGGGTCCCCATCTCAATTCAGGGCTCTAGATATCTCTGTGGAAAGGGGTAGGGCTGGGACCAGGACTGCAAGTGTCAACACCACTCTGTCCACTTCCCATTGGCCAGAACTCAGTCACATGGACCCAACCAAACTGCCAACTGGGCTAGGAATGAAGTTTAGTTGGGTACCCAAGAGGAAAGGGAAATGGAGCCAGTGACACATTGGTGATATAGGTGGAGGTGGAGTCTGTGACCAGAAGACTTCCAAATTCTTTGTGTCCCATGTGGGTGTAAATGGAATTTATTAAAAGTTAGAGAAGGAAAATACAAAGAGGAGCCTGGTGGGGTGCAGGTGGAATCTGGAGGCCAAGAGAGCGTGCTTCTCTTCTCCAGGTGCTGTTAAAACTTACATGCTAACCTATGGGAAGAGAGGAACTGGTGATTCCCATCCAATAATTAATGAGTGGGGAGGAGCATGGGCGGTTCCTGAGCCAGAGCATGGTCAATCTGAAATGCAATTTTAAGTTTCTATGAGTCCCAAACTTTCCCTAATTTTGGTCTGCTTCAATATGACCAGGATCCACTATGCTGACTGATATGGTACAAAGCATGCCCTTAGCATTAGTGTAGCTCCTCTGCTACTTCCTCGCCCCAGGCCTTGGTTCCTACATTGCTCCAGCACCAGCCATCATGGCTCATCTTCAGGGCCAAATGAAACCCCGGATCTGTTTTGTATACTCTCTTGTTGATAAGTTGTTTTGTTTTGGTTTTGGTGGTACTGGGGCTTGAACTCAGGACCTCACGTTTGCTAGACTTGCTCTACCACTTGAGTCACTGCACTGGCCCTGTTTTGTATTGGGTTTTTCAAGATAGGGTCTCAGGCTGACTTTGAACCATGATCCTCCTGATCTCTGTCTCCTGGGTAGCTATACAGGTGTGAGCCACCAGCTTAACTGTGCTATAAGGAGCTAACTTAGTGGATCTCAAGTAGAGGTATTTTCTCCTCCTTTTTTTTTTTTTTCCCTTTCCTCTCTTGTCTTGTAAAAGACGCTTAAGTTGCTTTTGCTGAAAAGCACTGAGTCCCTACTTAGGCCCATGAATCAACTAAAAGCAGGAGAAAAGCTTGGCATCCCTGCCTTCATTTTGTATCTGTGTTATTTGAGCTGTTCTCTCTGCCATCACTTTGCCATCACCTGGAATCCAGGAAGAACAGCACTGATGGATAATGTCTTTACAAGGAGGGATAGAGCAAACTGCCCCCAAGGAAAGGAACAGCCGAACCTCGTCAGGACAGACCACCCCCAGGCAACAATGACTTGTTTATCCTGACCAAATTGCTCCCCTCAAGTGATGACAGTAACAACTACTCTGGACCCTCCCTAAACAAGGCTACACCTGTGACTGGTACTGCTTAACTAGGCAACCTTTCGCAAACTTTGAATTAGGTCTTATTAGAGCATAACAGAGGCCCCCTGGGGTTTGAACTCACAGCTTTGTGCTTGCTAGGCAGGTGTTCTACTGCTTGAGCCACACCCAAAGTCCTTCCTTTCAGGTTTATGTGCTGTGAATGGGGTTTTAGTCCAGCAACCCCTTACCCCTTGCTCTTCCAAATTCCTGGTCTTGCCTTCTCTTGAGTCAACATTTGCTTAGTACTGTCAGACCTCATTAGATCGGCTCCTGCAATTGTACTTGAGTGATGGCTGCTTAATGCACTCATCAGTATTTTTTCTTTTTCTTTCTTTCTTACTTTTTTTTTTTTCAGTGAATCCAAGTGCTTTACTGCTTAAACCATGCCTCCAGCCCTTTTTGCTGTGGTTATTTTGGAGATAGGCTCCCTCTTTTCACCCAGGCCAGCCTGCACCGTGATCCTCCTATTTATGTTTCCCACCATAGTTGGGATGACAGCCACACACCACAACACTCAGCTTTTTTCTGTTGAGGTGGGGTCTTGCAAACAGTTTTCCTTCAGGCTCACCTGGAACCACAATCCTCCTGATCTCAGCCTCCTTGGAGCTTGTGATAACAGGCATGTGTTAAGCTGGTTTGTTTTGCAATTTCATGTGTAGGCGGGGTATCTTATCTGTGAATTTCATTCCAGGGCTGTAAAAGTGTCATAAAGAATTGTTATTGATGAGGTTGCGTGTTCGCTCATGGCTGTGACCTGTTGCAGTTGTGGTGTCTGACCCAC